TTAAAACTGCAAAGTTTGACTTTTACAATATGAATATGTCCGTTCTCCAGTCACTAAAATGTCTAGGTCTAAATACACTGTTAGGACATGGATCCCCAGATATTTGAAAACCTAGCCTTTCAAGCTCTACCTTTGTCTAGGTCTAAATACACTGTTAGGACACGGATCCCCAGATATTTGAAAACCTTGCCTGTTTTCAAGCTCTACCATGCTGACCTAGACCTGCAGAATAGTATATAAAAGTAGAAGATAGCACAAGAAATTCCATTTTTCCCATACAAAGGTGAAGAATATAAAAAGCCCAGGAGATTCGCCGACAGGGAATCCCATCTCCAAGACCAATGTGGCACCCTGGGCTGACCGACAGCTTTCTGCGGCTCACCCAGAGCAGCTCCAGGTGAACCAGCCGAAACTCCACACACACACACACCACCACTTCTCTCTGCAACTTGCCACAGCTCACTGGAGAGCTGTGGGAAAGGGACTATGGTGGCTCCCCTGGAGCTGCTCCAGGCAAGCCACAGAGAGTGGTGGCAAGTGGGAGTCTCTGTTGGCTCACCTGGAGCTGCACTGGATGAGCTGCAGAGATCAGTGGCAGGGGGGAGTCTCTGCTGGCTGAGTGAGTCACCAGAGACTTTCTCCTGGCCACTTTCATGATGGCCCCAGTGGAACCCACGGGCTTTACTGCTGCCAGTGGCATACCCCTCTGAGTTCCTAGGTTACGCAACTACTGCTGGGCCCAGCACGCCTCCCGAGCTACACCACCACTGCTGGACCCAGTGAAGGTCCTACTGCTACTCAGAGCAGCAGCAGCAGGAGAAAAAAAAATTAAAGGTGTCTATCGAACCAGTATGAATGTTGGTTAGCTTGATCTTATTATTGTGTATAAAAAGTAATTCCATTGTTGGATTAGAATGCAAGAAGAATGTTTTCTCAATTAGATCATAAGAACATAAGAAACGCCAATGTTGGACCAGGCCAAAGGCCCATCCAGTCCAACACTCTGTGTCACACAGTGGTCAAAAATACCAGGTGCCATCAGGAGGTCCAGCAGTGGGGCCAGGACATTAGAAGCCCTCCCACTGTTGAGCCCCCCAAGCACCAAGAAGACAGAGCATCACTTGCCCCAGAGCCCCTATCTATACCTTGTGGCTAATAGCCACTGATGGACCTCTGCTCCATATGCTTATCTTTCAATACTAATAATTAAAACTGAAATCCCTTCTCAAATAAACAACTTTTTTTTCTTCAGAGAATATATCTGCAAGCTGTTCAGTATATTGTCCACAAAACTAGCTATCACATTAACCAATTTAAGGTACATAGTTATATAGAAAGTTTTCAGATAATTTAATTATGATAATTTAAAAGTGAGAACCCAATACTACACTGTTCTGGTCTCGAATATTTATTATTTAAACAATGAAATCTACATAAAGGAAAGAGATCAGAAAATGTTTTGTCCACACATACCCTCCTGTTCAGTTCTGGTCATTTCCTCTAGCTTCTTCTGTTTCAGTGTGTCCACCACATCGGCAAGGCTTCCTTTGCGGCGTTCTGGAGTTCCAAAATTAACACTGGTCATTAGGTCACTGCGGTCGCGACCTCCTTCTTCGGGCTTATGTGGTGAGGTAGAAGTATTTCGGAAGGAATATAAGGAACATAACTTATTACTTTCTGACTCCTGTAAGAAACAAACACAATGATTGAAGAATAAACAAACTCTTCTGATACCAGAAATTTTATTATTTTATTATGGCAATTAATCATTTGGTAATATTAGAGATGAACCAGGACAGTCATTTTAGTTTCATTTTTACTTTCGTTATTGTGGGGAAATGAACACTATTAGGGTATTTTGATTGCCTTTGAAATTTCACTTTTTCATACGGGTCATTTTGGAGGCATTCAGAACTTTGGGGGACAAGTGGACTTGTGACTTTTTGGGAGCCCCTTTCCTCCACTTGTAATGGCTTCTGACAGCCATCTACAGAAAGTTGTTCTCTGTTGTCTATTCTGCGCTAAGGATAAACACTGCACAATTAAATACTTCTAGGTCTATTTAAGTTAATTGAGCTAAGAAAGGTGTATATCCATGTGGGATTGTACTGACGATCTCCGATCCTAGTTTTCTTCCCCAAGACCTTCAACACACAGCAATCAAACCTACCATTAAGGAACTGGCTGATGGACACCAGACATTACCATCTAATTGCATGAATGCTGAGATTGGTGTTTCATACAAATACACCATAAATGTATTTATATAAATACAGTTGCTGTGTTTGGAGTGCTGTTCTATGTCCTACTTTTTACTTGTGGCTCAGAGTGGAGTATTTGATGATAATGTTACATACTTGATGGATAGAGTCAACTAAACTACAGCTTAGGCAGATTCCTCTTATATCATTTTTGTAAGGTATCTCCTCACTTTATGTAACAGTTGTGCCCGAACCTCACTACAGTCCCCATACAGTCATATGTACCAGATGGAAAACTTCTAGAGGAGGGATCCCCAACATGGCACCTGCCAACACCTTTGCTGGCACCCACCGAATGTTTTTACAATGTGGGAATGGGCAGGTGGGACGTCTGCCCAGCAGGGCTTCTGATTTGCCATTGGAAAGTTCATTGGCTGTGTAAATTTTAGAAAAACCGCTTCAGTTGCAAGTGTCACCACAACACAAGGATCTTCACTGTGTGATTAAAGGTAAGATGTGTATATTCAAGACTATATTTGTAAAAGGCAGTCCATTAAGCCTTATTATTAAAGTTATACATAACTTCACTCCCTGACATTTTGTGGTTGGCTCTGGCTACTGTAGCAGCCATTCTGTGTTTGCACCATCTACCCTGTATCAGAATTCCAAAGCTGCCCACAGGCCCAAGGAGTTGGGGGCCTCTGTTCTGGAGAATACATGAAGTGGCTCTGCCTAGGTTTTAGGTCAATTGAGTTCCTTGCTACCCTGAGTTGTGTCCTTAGCGACTTGTATAAATCACCCCAGGGGTGGAGGTTACATGGCTCTGTGTCAGCTGTGAATAGTGGACTTGGAAAGAAGAAGAAGGAGAAGGAGGAGAAGAAGGAGAAGAAGGAGAAGAAGGAGGAGAAGGAGGAGAAGGAGAAGAAGAAGAAATTGGATTTATACCCCACCCTTCACTCGGAGTCTCAACAGAGAAACTATAGATTTTATTTCAGTTTACTTGCTATTGGATTAAAACTTTCTCCTCATGAAACATGCACATTTTGAAATGAAAACTGAAATTCAAGCCAATTCAGCTCAGCTTTAATGAAATATTTCAAGGGGCATACCCCAGCAGCATGCCAGGGGGCTTTTGAGTTCTAAGCAAAATGGTATGTTAAAATCCTCAGACCCTGCAATAATTTCCCCAGTTAGTTAAGGCCCAAAAATGGTTTCCAATTAACACTGTTCTCATGTTACAGAAGAATTGTAGTTTTTGTTTAAATATTTGTTCAGCATCAACTTATGTGAAGGACAACTATGTTCATAAATGTCTGTAATCAGTAGTCCAATTCTTCAAATGTTTTCTACCCATGGAAAAAACACAGACCACTCACTTGAAGTCATAATCCTTTCACAGTTTAAAAATATTAACAAATGCATGCATTAAAATGCTTACGATCTGCCTTTCGACTGAAAGATGAGCAAGGTGGCTAACGTAGTTCCAGAAGCACCACAACACAAAATTTAAAATATTACCATGAAAACAAAGTGGTATAGCAAATTACAGTCCTGTTAAAGTAGCAGGAGTTTATTTTTCTCCTTTGGGGGGGGGTATTTTTTAATATTTTTCTTGTGTCTGTGTGCACACCTGGAAGTCATGGTGACCTCTGGTGACTGACCCCTACTGGGGGCCTGGAGGATATTCAGAGAGGTGGCTGAATAAAGCCTGCCCCCACCTCCTGACTGCTCTCATCCAGGTACTTGCCAGAGTCAACCCTGCTTAGCTTCCGAGATGTGATGGGCTTGCCTGGGCTATTCAGGTCAGGCAGTAATGGGAGTTTATTAACTGTTTATCTAGTGTTATAGATCATTATGTTGTATGCTAATTTGTTGTTCACCCTCTGCCTATGTATGTATGGACTGTTAACTTCCATTTCAATGTATCTGAGGAAATGTGCATGTGGTCTTGAAGGTGTGACTGGACTCAAACTTTGTTCTGTCTAATGTTAAACATACGTTAATGCCATTCTGGCAGCCATATAAATATTCAAGGCCACATTTAAATCAAACCTTATGTTTGTTGTTTTGTGGATTTTTTTGTTATAACCTTTATTTATAAACAAATAACCTGAACCTTCCTGGGTTATTACTGGTATAATCCTGCTTCTCACATCGAACACTCTTCTTGATCCATAAGGGATAGACACCATGATTTTTGCATGTTTACATGTATCTAACTGCAAGTATACTTTGTTATACATTAAGTGGCTGTAATTCCATAGGGTTGGAGGCAAAAATGTCTTGTGTCCCTTCAATAGAGGCTAAATACATTAAGTGACTGTAATTCCATAGGGTTGGAGACAAAAATGGCCTGTGTCCCTTCAATAGAGGCTAAATAGGATGTTATTTACCATGCTATGAGTCAGTTACAGGGTATATTTCCATACATTAAGCCTCTACTGAAGAGACAGAACATTTTTCTCCAGGTCTGCTGGCAAATTTGTCCATATCCCATTCATGAACATAAATGTATGCTGGTAAGCCATAACGTGAGACACAGACATTACATATGCAGTGACACAAATGTAAACATGACCGCAATACAGATTCTCTGTTCTCATTTGCTTTTTTAAAAGATCAACATATTTTCATAGTTTATGGCTCCTTGCAAAATTATTGAATAAAACTTTATTTCTGCTGCTGTGCTTCAGTGTAGCTGCATTGAAACCATGATATCAATGGCAAGGGGAAGCATTTACTAGGTAGACACATGTTGCAATATTTGTGCATATTCTTTTCAGCATTCAGTAGGCAAGACACCATTCTTCAGAACTAATATGAGATGACTTAATTTAATGTTAATTTTCATTTGAAAAGGCTTTCAACATTTTCCACTAACTTCAAAAGAGATCCATTGTCAACTACTGGTGGTTTACAGACCAGAGTTTGGAAATTATAAGAGTAATTACAGCATGCCTATGTTCTGCCACAGTAGTGATTCTAGAAATAAACAACATTTTTTAAAAAAATTCTTGGAATAATGGTTGCAATAATTCTTTTTTTTTTTCCTCTTCCACATTTCACTGAAAATGTTCATTACAGGAAACAGGTCAGGTTATCATATCACCATTTTAGGATGATAATACCATAAAATAAACCTCCCATAGATGTAGTCATGGGTCAAATTGAAAGCCTCTAATATATATTTTGATAAGGTTTGCTGTTGGCAACATAGGGAGGCATGCATTCTCACTTATCAGGTTGTAGAGATTAAGGAGTGTCTGTGCCGAACGGGATAACAAACAATGGGCAACTGTGGTTACTAAGGGCCGTTGTTTGCAGAGATTATGTTGGTAACAAACCATCATTCACAGGCACAGGATGACACTGTTGCCATAATCTACAAGGGAAGAAGCATCTATCAATGCTGAAAATATATTTTAGTCACTTACACAGGTGATAAAGAAAGAAAACTTATGTGTTTCAGAGAAAACAGCCAGGCAACATGGTTTAGCATAATTTATGCAAAATTTCCACAATTCCCTTGTTGCTTTTAATCATTTTGTTTTTGGAAGACTGGGATTTCTTCCCTTGGTGGAGAAACTTCAGAGAAGTGCACTCAAGACCCACTAAAATGAACAAAATGTCAGCAATTAACCAGGCACTTATTTCAGTGGAACAAGAGTGCTTAATTACCTTTGGATAGCATCCTTTGCTTTGGTAAAGTGCAAGGGACTGGGAACCAAATGTTAGTATGGTTCAGTGGAAAATGACCTTTTTCTTTATTTAGGATTAGGAATAAGGCCTGTTGTGGAAATAAATACCAGCTCGAGAAAGAGGCTCTGGGAGAGTGCCCTGGCCTTGGGCACTCAGCATCAATTTGCTGTGGTGACCTTAGCAGGGTATAATGACACAGAGTCCACCATTTTCTCCAGGGGAACTGATCTCTGACATCTGAAGAGCAGTTATAATTCTGCATGATCGCCATCCCTCCCATGTAGACTGGCAACAATGGTTCCCCATGAGGGAATGGCTGGTTTGGAGGGTGGAGTCTATGGCATTGTACCTTTCTGAGGTCCCACCCCTCCTCAAACCTCACCCTCTCCAGGCCGCACCCCTCAAATCTTCAGGAATTTCCCAACCTGGAGTTGGCAACCCTATATCTCTCCCAGCCAACCATCAACCTACCGTTAACTGCCCCCTGGCTTCAGCTTTCCATTTCCTCGCCCTCCCTCCTAGAGAGCAGTTGTAATTCTGAGTGATCTCCAGCCCCCACCTGGAGATTGGTAACAATGATTCCCCATGAGGGAATGGCTGGCTTGAAGGGTGGAGTCTATGGCATTGTACCTGTCTGAGGTCCCACCCCTCCTCAAACCTCACCCTCTCCAGGCTCCATCCCTCAAATCTCCAGGAATTTCCCAACCTGGAGTTGGCAACCCTATCAGGACTGGCCCCAATGAGTTTTCTCCCAAAGGCCAAAACAGGTGTGGAAAGGGCCTTT